CACAAAGTTCTCAGTGTCCATCCACTGGTAAAACGGAGCCATGATAGCAGAGGGATCGCCTGAGTGTTCCAAACCAAGAGCATGACCTAATTCATGCACTGCCACCAGGAAGACATCATTACCTGAAAGAGAGGCAGAACGATGACGCTCTAAATATAAAATATCACAGAAATAACATTCTGAATTTACACGCCATGCCTGTAGTTTGCTCAGCTGACTCATTTCCACATTCTCTTATTCTCTGCTCACCTCCCTGGTCAACGTTGCCTGTTGTCCAAGGCTCTGCTGCGTCAAAGTGGGTATCACCTCCGATACCGTGACCAGGGAAGTATGCGTGGGCCAGGAAACCTCCCTCGCCATCAAATGGGGTGCTGTCTCCGTGAAAGCCTTCCGCGAAGAAAAGCATGATATCTGCAAACTTGTCCACCTTGCCATTGATTTGACTGTATGGGATTTCACGGAACTGGAGTGGCGTCACGGCTTCCCAGACCTTGAAGGCCTTCCTGATGGCCTCATGTGTGGCATGTTCGCCCACTTTAGGAGTGTAGTTCTGGATACTGACAAAAGAACACATTTGTGCTTATTTGCTAAATGTGAGTCTTTCAGGAAGGAAGTGTGGAAACTGGATTTTTAAAAATATGTTGTTACTTGGTAACTTGTTCCACTTTTGGAAAAGAAGAACCAGAATAACTATTAATTTTCTAAAGAAGTTCATAATTATTTACGTGTTCTGAGTGTTTAAATTTGGATTGTAATGTAATGTGTAAATTTAAATGGCGATCCAGCAAAAATTTATCCAGATACTATCCGGATACAAAGTGTTAATGACAGGTGTATAGAGGGCCACAGTTTTATATACACTAATGATTATTAATGTTCTCCTTAGTTTGTCAATTACAGTTCCATACCTGAAAGTGATTTCTCTTTTGTCCCATTTTAGGCCCTGGATGACATAGCGCTTCTTTCGTAGGTTGCTCTTCAGTTCAGAGCCAAATTTATCTGGAACTCCGCATCTTGGCCGCATCATGACCCTGACAACATCATGTTAATAATGCAAGACATAAAGTCGTTCAATAGTATGTGTCTGAATCACATAAGAAAACGTTTAAAGTGTTAGTCCACCCAAAAATGAAAATTCTGTTTTTTTTTTGTAAAATTTTTTTTATTTACATCTAAACAGTGATGTAACCACTGTGACCTGGAAGCTTGGTGAAAACCAATGAGGTCAGTTCTAGTGTGTGACGCACACACAGGCTTCTGTATTTTACCATATGTGATGTATGTGTTTTTCATTGGAACAAAATCCTAAATTAAATCTGTTAATCATAACAAGCTACCATATAGACCTAGATTAAATCGTTCGATTCATATGGATTCGTTTTACGACGCCTTTATAACCTTTTTGGATCTTTTAAGTTTTGTTTACCTGAACTTTCAATGAGGGACAGAAACCTCTCAGGTTTCATAAAAAAATATCTTAATGTGTGTTCAGAAAACTAAACAAAGTCTTATGGATTTGGAATGACGTGATTGAGTAAACGATGACAGAATTTTTATTTTTGGGTGAACTATCTTTTTAACTCTCTATCAGGTAATATTCCATCCATTTTTGGTCAAATATTTTTAGTCATTAGCATATATAATGTAACTATTAAGATAATTATTGCACATAATCTTAAAATGGTTACGATTAACAAATTAGAGGTGTACGAGATTGGGCTAGACTTACGAGAGAGTAGCTGGATCCATAGTGCCAGTGACAGTGAGGCCATAGAACTTCTGCATGGCAGATATAGCAGTGGTGATGGATTTAGGAGAGCGGATTGCCTGAGCCTGAACATCGCCAGGAGGAAGATACCCATACTGCTGGAGCCATGCCTGAGAGAGAATGAATGTCACATTAGCACACATGCATATTGACGTGCAGCTGTCCTACAACACCTCTTCATCATTGTAATAAACCATACTCAACAATGAAGTAGTGCACTGCACAGACACACAAAAAAATATTCTCTGGAAAACATCACTTGTGTCAAAAGCATGAAATAGCACAGGTGTCACTGCTGTCATGGCTGTTACGGTGATCTCAGTGAATTAAATTTGGGCTGAATGTTTTTGAAATGTACTCATTGTTCCAAATGTCTCAGTGCAGCACCTCATCCACATGACATGCTGTTTGAATTTATAAAATTTAATTGTACATAAACCTGCCAAAGTCCACAATCACCCGTGACGAACCACAGTGCAAACACAAAGATGTGTGTTCGTGTGTGCGCTTTTGACCTGGTTAAACTTTTGTGGGTAAGAGAGTGTGTGTGTGGAAGCTCGAGAATCTTAAAGGCTTTAACTGTGTGTTGTAACTGTAAGTAACTGTGTGTCTGTGACTTTATGACCCTAATTTAACTTTAAGGATGTATGTGTGTTTGTGTGTGTGTGTGTGTTTCCAACCTATTTATAATTTTGGTAGTATATTTGCTTAAGAAATTTCACCAGAGTTTCACTAAATCTGACAAAGCCTGTCCTGTTTGAAACCTGCATAATCTTTGATATACTGTATGTATATATTTCAAAGAATACATATATCTGTATATGTATATGATTTGTATTAAATTATATTACATTTCTATTTATATAGGGACCAAATTGTCTCCAGAAGCTA